TGTTCATAATTTTCCCATGAAAGTACCGGAAAAAAAAAGGTCGTTTTTTACTGATTTTAAGTTTCAAACTATGCTACATCACTGAAAAATTAATTAATTCCCTGTATTTTACTCAATTTTTATTTTTCTTTCTTGGTTTTGTTTTGTTTTTGTTTTTTTACTGAAACTACTTCTTTGATTACTTGTTTCTGGATTAGTGCAATACGAATACAAGTACAATCTGACACTTTTACAAAACTATACTGGTGATGCTTTTTGTGAAGGAAGCTGTAGTTTAGTTTAATCCTTAAGCTAATAATCCACCTATATGTGTGCCCAGAGGTGGGTAGAGTACCCACAATTTGCATTAGTGAGGATAGCACTGCTTCATCATATTTTTACTCAAATAAAAGCAGCCTTTAAAGAAATTACTCTAGTAATAGTAAAAATGTATTAGGTAAAAAGGCTACTCAGGTACTGAATAACTGATCTACTCACTGCCCATGATCATAGCAACTGATTTTTTTTTTAAGTATAAAACTAACCAAATCAATAGTTACAGTATGTAGATAAGGTTATGTGATTTACTGTATGTTAACTCAACCTCAGACTCAGCAGATATAAAATAACCTTTAATCAATAAGCTTTCAATACAAAAAAGAAAATGGCGTGTCTCTAATTGGTGAATATTTGTTTAAAACAAGCTTAAGTGAAAGCTTAAGTGACTAAACTAATAATAAATTGAGTTGCCAGAAGTTTGACTCAAATATAAGTGCTGATACTTTATATTATATTTATACTCAAGCAAAAGTAAAAAGTACAACTCTGTAAATCTAGTCCTACAAGTACATTTTACTCAAATAAATGTAACTGAGTGAATGTAACTAGTTACTCCCCACCTCTGAGTGTGCCATTGCAGTTGAACTGCACAGTATCTCATATCAATATTTTAACTGAATCAATAACTTTATTCAAACCAGAATCATTCTAGCATCAAAGTAGACAGACCACAATAATGGTGTAGTAGCTTTTTTGTATGAATTTCAAACATTTTGGGGTGAATGGTTGAACATATTTATGGAAATTAATATGTTTGTGTTGATGTGTGAGTTTGGAACCTTTAGATGCACATTTGTAAGTGTGAGCGAGAACTGTAGAAGGCCCGCCCTCCACAGCACCAGAAGAACTTGGTTCTGGAAGGACGCAGTAGTCCTAGGCTACAAGACACTATACATATAAAGGTACGACCCCACATCTTTATATGACGTGTACTGTATACACAACATATAAAGACCTTTTTATGGTGGTGCTGTGAGTGTTAAAGGGAATAATAAATAATAAACCGAAGAATCAAGAGAATAAGAGAGTCCAATTAGAGATGTGCTTCTGCTTAATCTGAACTGAGACACCAACTTTCCTCAGACGTGAGCAGCTCTGACCTCAGTGATGTGGGACTGCTATGAACTCATTTACAAACCACTGTATTGTTTTATTTATACATTTGGCTCTCTTTCATTTGGCTCCTTAGGTTGTCTCAAACATACACACTGTCACAATGACAGACTTAAATGCTTGACATGATTGTACCAACTGTCCTGGCAGTGCCTTTTCCCCTTCCTTAGTGACAATGAAATCACTGAAAGCATCTTCATCCTCCCATTGGCTGCCGAGCTCCATGGTGATGCCCTGCGATTGGGCATGGCCAGCCTGCACTCTGGGCCAATCAGGCTTACTGTATCCAAGAGACTAAAGCATGTAAGGCTATTTAAATCCAACCAGAGACTAGCAAGATTGTTCAGATGTATATTTCAGAGTGCAAAAACTGAAAAAAAGCCAGGGGGCTGAAAGGTTTATGAGTGGATGAATGTGAAAATCCAGACAGATCTGATTGGTTTTCAAAGAGGTCAGTCCATGTAGACAGAGTTGAAGCGACACAGAATGTAATGCAAGTCAGGTGTGTAAACTTCGGCATCGTCTGCACTCCCTAAATCTGAATTTACCTTTGCACTTTGCCCAAATCTTGCTTCCTCGTCACATTCATGCTATACTTGTAGTAAACAGAGCAACGGAGGAATGAGGATGGATTCCTTATTTAACGGAGCACATTGAAGCAGGACTGTTGCATCAAAGACCAACTAGCGACTGGACCACAACTGCAATGAAGCTCCAGAGTGAAAGTCTGCAGCCATTTTGGGCTATATCCCTTTTATTTTTTTTTTATCGTGACAGTGTGAGTAACTTCAAAATGGCGGATGAGTCAGAATGATGCTGACTAATGATTAAACTATGTTTACTTAAGTAAAGTAAATATCTATTATTTACAAAATGTTATTTGCAAATTATTATCTGTAGATTTGATGACTAGACAACAGCATTTTGGATTAGCTTGATGCTTTAGTTTGCAGCGTGGGACTTTTGTTTTCCAACAGATCAGGATCTCTGCCTGCTGCATTAAAATGTGTCATCTCTATATATAACATGGAAGAGTTGGAAAAAAAAAACATGCAACTCCTTAAATAAAACCAAAATTACACCAACTAGTGAGAATCTAAGAGTTCTTTTAATCCAACCTGCTTTTTTTTCTCTCTTGTTTTATCTTTTTTGGAAAATATATAAATATGTTTTTAATTCTAAAAAAGGTGCCTTATATCTAGTGTAATTATCAATTGCCCAAACAATTGTAGGATAAGATAAATGTCTATCTATATTTATTTCCGTAACAGGTTTTTAACATTTCTCACCAGGCAGTTTTAGTTCAGCATACATACAGCTTCTGCAATAAACTATGTAAAACCCCGCCAATAACAAGAATTAACATTTGTTAGCATTTTCATTTTGTTAGAATGCTTATTTTTGTTAGAATTAAGAATATATCAACAAATTAAAAATTACGCTCTTAAGAAAAGTCATTTAAGTTTTTCCTCTTGACATATTTGATAAGGTGTTTAATTTTTTTTTAGAGTTTAGCTGGAGGCTAATCATTCTGATCACAAATTCATAAATATACACGATACTTTCTTATAAAACATGCAAAGAAAGAAAGTTTTCACCCTTTTGGATTTCTTTTTTTTTTTTTTTTCTGACATTCAAATAGTTAATCAATTAAAAAAAAAAAATCACCCCCCAAAACATAAAACAAATTTATTCTCTTGTTGGCAACACCAGCATCAAGCATTTATGAAAACTATAAATGAGACCCACTCTTTGCAGATACATTATGTTGTGTTTTTCTTTTTTTTTTTAGAACACACTTTCTGTTAAGTTTCTGTTTTCTGTTATGTTTTTCTTTTGATATTCAGTTTTGCTTTGCTCTTTGTTTTATAGCTTTTTATGGTTTAATTCTTATGTTGTTGTGTTCCTTGGGTTTTTTCTCAGTTACTGTCTCAGTCTTGGTTCTGTTATATTTTCCTTTTAGTGTTCAGTTTTGCTTTACTCCTTGTTTTCTAGTGTTAGTGGTTTTATTTTTATTTTGCTGTGTTCTCTGGTTTATTCTTAGTTATTGTTTCAGTCTTGGTTCTGTTTTGTTTTTCTTTTGAGTTTTTTAGTTTTACTTTGCTCCATGTTTTATTTTCTTAGTGGTTTAATTCTTATTTTGTTGTCTTTTCTGGTTATTTTCAGTTTTCTAGGTTTGTTCCCCTCTGCTACCCTCTTGTGTTCTCCTTTTTCCTATGCTTTTTTCCTCTCCTGCCCTGTGCTCACCTGTTCCCAATCTGCTCATTAGTCTTCTCTTTTTCTCAGTCTCCTTTAAATGCTCTCCCTCTTCAGTTCTTGTTTGCTGGGTCCCCATCTAACTTCCTCCAACTCTGTGTCTCTGAGCCTTCCTCTTCTAGATTATATCCCATCTGATATCTCCATGGTTTCTGGTTTGTTTTGACTTAGTTTTCATGTTTTGATTTTGGGATTTTGGATATTTGGACTGTTTTTTTTCCAGTTTGTTTTGTGTTAGTTTTTCACGTTTGGATTTTTGGATTTCCTGCCTCTGTTTTTCTGTTAGCCTTTTATTAAACCCACAAGATAATCACCTCTGCCTCCCTGCCTCTGCATTTTGGGTCATCTATCCACAACCAAATCATGACACTTTCCAAGAAATGTAATTTTCTTTCTTATCAGTATACAGAACTTGTATTGTCTTGATATTATGGAGATGTTTTTTATTTCTGTGTTTTGTTTTAGTCAAAGGTGTTTCTTCACTTTTCCTCTTCCTCACTTCTTCTTATTAGATTGGTTCTATCTAGGTTTGCTCTTAATTTGTTTTTAAGTCATCAGTCCTGGGTGTGGTTTATCTATTTTTCCCCCCAAAAAATGGTAGGCTAAATCATAATTAGTTTTATGAAAGTTTGTTTCACTAAACAAACAAACAACATTCAAAAACTTGTTTTCTTAATTTACTCAGGTTATTTTACTGGGATCAAAAATATGTTTATAATTTGAAGTGTCAAACAAAGTGTTAATAAAAAATATGTAATAACAGTCTGTAGAAGGGATCATCTTTCTTAGCACTGTAATTATTGGTTGATATGAGCTATTAAAGGATAAAATTAGGCCCTATTGTTGCATCAGTTTATTTATTTTCTTTTTGCATATTTCTTTTGATTTATAAATAGACATGAAGAAAACCTTGAAAAGTCCAGACCGCAAACTAAAGTAAACGTAAGTATATAAACACAAATACAATAAGAGATCATATTACAGAATGCTGGCAATAAAGGATTTGTTTTTAAGTGTATAATTGTACCAAAATAGTTCACATTTAGAGTGGACCTCCTTATGTTTTATGAGCCCCATAGTTTAAATATAATTTTACTAATCCAACAATATTCACTAGATTGGAATGATGTTTAAATAGCCACATTACCTTATGATTACACGTGAATATCATAAAACAGGAAGTAAGTTTCTTTTTATAGCAAGATGGCAAGTAGTGACAGAAGAAAACTACAAATTAAACCGGATTCTTTCTTTATCACATTGAAACTTTAGTTGCGGTTTCCTTCACAACCGTTAGAAGCAGCTGCGTCATCTTCAGTCGCGCGCCTCAAGCTCGTGCTCGAAACCTTCGGTCTAGTTTACTTCTGATGGGAAAGTTGCAAGTTTCCGAAAAGTTTTCGCGCACCTTGTTATGTTTTGGTCTAAAATGAGGCTTTACTCCTGACTGATAAAGTTTCTCACTGAAAGAACTCTGTCCGGTGAGTGTTTCTGTTTTACTTTTTGAACAAAAGCAGCGACAGGTTTCATTCAAACATCAGACTCATCGACCGCTTCCTGGTGCTTTCGTGTGTTTATTGGTTAATTCAAATTCCGGCTGTTCTACTGGAGGAATATAGCTTCCTAGCAACTAAACTACTGGTGTAATAAACACATTGAGTTTCCAGCCCTAAATATTCAATGTGTTTGTCAGTCTTTTGTTGGAATTGGCCTCTGCGTTTGAAAGCGATATTTCTGTTACCATGGAAACGGAGCGCGAACGCGCACGGGCTCTTTTCCATAGCCACCAAGGCTTATACCTATGGAGAACCAACTCTGCCATATCTAAAAATAAATACAAAAATAAATAAATGCTCAATAAGTAAATAAGCATACAATTAATTGCCCCCAAAAATACAATACAAAAATAAATGTGGGTAGAAATTAAATTATACAGAGACAAATGTATATATCTCTTTTAATTAGCTTCTTAATTTATTCGCCTTTGTAATAATTACCTTAACTATTGTCAATTATAATCTTCAACTTTATCTATTCATAATTTTTTTAAGTATTTATTTCATGTGCATGTGATAATATTTTTGTCTGTTTTATTCTTCCTTTGTATTTTTTTTTACCCTATTTATTTCTTCAACGCTATTTATTTTTGCCTGTTGTTTTTACATTTCTATGCATTTCTGCCTCATTATGCAAATGAGGAAGGGCTGTGTCTTAGAGGTTCAACTTCCTTCAATAAATAAATAAGGTCATTATTACAAAGGCGGATAAATAAAGAAGATAATAAGAGATTCATACATTTGTCTCACTGTATATTTTAATTTCTACCTACATTTATTGTTTGCTTATTTATTGAGCATTTTTTTTTTTTTTTTTTTTAGATATGGCAGCGTTGGTCCTCCATATACATCAGTATGTTTGATTTAATTTAATTGCATTTCTTATTCTTACTCCTTTGACTAATACAATTTTGAGTATAAATGAAATATTTTAGCCGACATTTTATATTTTTCTTCACGCGTGTAGGCTATAGACATATATTGGAAAATAAATAAAAAAAATATTAAATATTGTTTTTATAACCCTAAGGTTATTTTGAAGCCTCATGATAACAAGTGATTTATTTTTTTGGAGGGGAAAAAAATGGAAATCATGGATGTAGCTTACACATAATATAGAGAGAAGAAAAATGTGTCTATTCAGCAGAGGATTGAGGCCAAAGGAAAAGTCAGCAAGAAATTTGTAAACATATCTCTATTTAAATGAATAAAACAGGACAATAAAGCAAATAACATGACTGTGCAAATTCTCAGTGATCTGGGTCATGGCGACCACGAAGCAGGAAAGCAACTGGACTTTTCTAAAAACTCACCAATTATCTTGCACACTCATCCAGAGGAACAAATTTAATAAAACAGACTTTGAGGTGTTTACGGTAACTCATTTGAAAAGTAAAGTCCATTGTCAGGTAAAATACCTTTTGTGGTGCTGTAGTCTTTTTAGTTTTTTTTTGTTTTTTTTTGTCACCAAAAGCCCACCACCCTAACCTGCAACAGAATAATGGATCAATAAGGTTTTATTTGATAACCAATGAGAAAGTCTCTAACAAATTTGCAAATATGGAGGCTGATTTTGTTTTTCTTTCCTCATCTAATTTTGCAGTTATTTTTCTGCCGAAACAATTTGGACAAATAGTGTCTTTAAACGGCATAACATTTCTCATTAGAGTTGAGTTCTGGACTTTAGACAATTCTGAATATGAAAATTATTTGCTCTAAACCTTTCCATTTTACCTGTAGTTATATGTTTATGTTATTTTTGGTAAAGCTGGAATATTAACACCAACCCTTTTGCAGCCTCTCTCAGTTGTGGAAATGCTTCCCCATAGAATAATACTGTCACAAGCATGTTTAACCATGAGGGATGGTGTATTTCTAAGATGGTAGTTTACTGCAACATACTGTCCATGTAGGCAAAAACTTCAGTTTTGTCCAAAACAGTTCAGGGGTCCATTTTATAAACTCATACTCAAATTCTCAGTTCTGAATTGATCTAACCTAAGGTTGGAAACTCTGAGTTTTTGATTTCACAAAGGCTGCTGTGAGTTAATTTAATCAAGTGTGAGTAAGTTGACCACATGTGCGAAACAAGTATGAAAAGCCATTGTCTGTGGAGCCCCAATTTGACAAGTCGACACGACAACAGAAAACAGGAAGTACCCATTTTACACCACTGGAACTAGAGATTTTATGCAGAAATGAAAAAACAAATTGGAGAAAGTTTTTAAAATATGGAGCAACAGCGCTACAGCTGCAAAGGAGAGGGAAGATTGCTGCTCAGGGTAGTGCGTAGATTTATATTAAGTCCACTGTGACATTTATTATAAGCTCTCTCCTCTCTGTTGTTCCATCTGTAGATCACCAAGATTCTTCCTGGTCAAAATCACATCCCTGGTTGGAGCTGTAATAACAGATTTTCTAAATTACACTTTTGCTGCATAAACTGAATTTCCTAAATTAAAAAAACAACAAATTTTACTAGTATGAAGTAAGTTTTATATGCCTAGAAATGATTACATATTTAAAGTGGCCGTTTTAACATGTATCAGCTTGACTGAATGTACATTTATGATATCTAAAACACATAGCTTCATAGTCAAAATAATACAATTGCTGACTAGTAACAATAGGAATATGGAGATTTATAAGCCATTTCTAGACATCTAGAATGTTTATTCAAGAAGTGAAGAATGTTTGTTTGAAATGGTCATTTTGATAAGTAAAAATCTTTTTTTCAGTTACTAGAAATACATATTCAGTCAAACTAATACGTTTCAAAATGGCCTGCCATAGCCTGTGCTAACCCAAGATAACATTATGGGGAAAACTAGTTTATTGCTTGAATGGTAGTGGTTTAATAATCTATTTAGGTGTAATCACCAGTCAGCAGGTGAAGATGGAGTATAAATACATCTAACAGGTAGGAACTGTGCATCATTTCATGAGGTTCCTCCTCATTTTTTATCCTGTCTTCCATCACACAGTAGATACTAACTGGCTGTTTGCAGTCATTTCAGATGTTCTCATCCCAATAAGTGGCCGTTATTATCAGTCCCATAGAATGGCTTCAGATTGTGCCTCCTACATAACAGTAGGCTCAGTAGGTTGTTATGACCGAATGAATCCTTATCCTAACCATAAGCTAATTCCTTTTTTTCCTTTCTTATTTATGTGTAATCTGAAAATAACTTCAGTAGTTCTTGTAGTAAACAAACCGAAAACAGAAAATCACATATCTTTTCAACTGAGTTGTTTTAATCACCACATTAAATCCGTTGAACCTTCTTCCCTGATTTTCAGGGAAAAAGGGAAAACAAAGTTTTCAGTAAACCTGCTTTTTGAAAAGGACCCCAGGTTCCCCGGTTATTTGTATTCATTGGGCTCCTTATGTGGGTAAACACAGATTTTTATGGGTTTATCTCAACAGTTATGTTACTTTCTTACCTCTTTCAGATTGTTACTATAAGCTGTGGATGTTTGTTAATGAACACTTTCCTTGTCTTGTATGTTAATCTTCCTGGCATGTCCATTCCTTCCTGTTTGCAGTTGTTTAGGGTTCTTGGTCTTTATGTGCTTTTTTTGATTAATGTACTCCATCTGTACGGAACAGCTGTATTTCTTCTGTGATTTAATTAAACACAGCTGGACTCTATTTAGCAGTGGTGGGGACTTGAGTCACAAGATTTTTACTCAGGTCAAGCTTGAGTCATTTAATTTGTGACTTTAGACTCAATTTTAAAAAAGGTGCCTGTGGACTTGAATTCACTGTCACATGGTTCACTTGAAAATACTTTATATTTTACCCGAAATCTAGTTTAAAACACCTATTAATGGAAAAAGTGTGGACCAATAAATAATTTTACTCGCCAACTAGATGGGCCATGAAACACCCATGTTTGATTTAAAGGGTTGTATGGTAATCTAAAGAAATTTAAAATAATAATAATAAATAAATAAATAAAAAAAGATTGCAGATGTATTAAAATTGGTAATTCAGTGTGAGGGAAAATGAGATACAATTTCTGGCAAGATGGTTGGTGGATGTGTGATTTAGAAACATCTAGTCTAAAGCAGAATTACTTTTATTTGCAATTATTGTGTGGAAATTAGGAAATTAACTCTGGTTTGTGCACCCACTGCTTACAGACATTCATATAAATAAACATACAAATAGCAAAATGTACAAATATGGATATTTAAACCCATTTTGTTATTTATCATTTCAGAAAGGTGATTTGTGGAGGGAAATTCTAAGTATTTTGTTACACCTTTTAATGGTGAAGGACAGATTACCTTAAAAATTTACTGAACCCATGACTAACTATTTTTTTTTTCATACTTAACTTGGTCAATATTCAAATTGTCCAACAACTGTCCTTTGTGCACAGTGGGCCATTAAAATGTGTACTTTACTGATCAATGTCCTCCAGGCCTGGATGATCAAACTCTGACTGAGCTCCATGGAGACGAAGCATGAGCCCTGCAGCCCTTTTGTCCAACGCCCCAACAGTTTGAGGAAAACTTGTGCCGAGATAGTCAGAGAAGCCCGACTGTCTCTGCAAGTTCAGTCCACGAAGCGACCTTTTACTCCAAGAGATGGACAGAGGCAGCTTTTTGGAACAAACTCTGTTCGAGCACACCAAGACACCAGACCGCCATCAGCCTTTAGGTTATTGGCTAATTCCTATTTGTAAATAAAGTGCATATATTAAAATCATTGATTACTTTTTTTTTTTTTTTTTACTTTGCAGTCTTCATGCCCAGAACTTTGAAGCTAACTCCAGGCCCGGCTCAGGGACTCGCCTCTCACCCCTTAACCATGTACGTATGCTTCCCATAACCACATGATCAATAGGCATTTTTGTTTGTCATCAGTCAAGATTAATGGACTCTCCTGCAATTACTATAGATATTAAAAGTAAATCAATCATCTGATCAGCTCCTCAGACCACGAACAAGTCTGCATTTTGTCTGTTTGCCCAGAAACCAAAGATTCAGGTCCCCTGTAATGCTGAGGATTCGTTTAAGGTCTTTCCTAAATCCCCCACTGGGCCGGTGGAAGCAAAGAAAGGGTTGGCACCAGCTCGGACCCGCCTCCTCAAGCCTGCATCTCTTCAGTCGCTGCTGCCTTCAGAAGCAAGCACAGATGGTAGGTAAAAAAATAAAAATAGTGTTGACTGATTTGAGAAAAGATACAGTAAATAGCTACAAAACGTAAAAGTGTCTTCATTACCCCTTCTGCTCTGTTGCAAATAAATGAAAGGCTCATGAAAACCGAAGTCTATTTTTATTTGCTTTACTGTGACGTTTGGGTCCAGCCATTGTTCTACAAAATACACTAGAACTGACCAAAGCAACTTTTGACTAATTATGAAGTCAAGTAAAAGGACACATGGGTTTTCAAAATATGTCAAATTAAACCCTGTAAATGGAGTTTTGATTTTCATTCAGCCTACTAAGACAACACTTTGTGGAGCAAAATTTAACTGAGAGTAGATTTTCCAATGTTTTAGGAATGTTTCAATGTATATTTGGAGAGGGAATGTTTTCCCCATATTTTTTTTTTTGAAGTGGCTCATGGGCAGTCAGATGGGAGGGATACTAAGTTTAACATCAATTTTCAAGATTGTCTATCAGATTTGGGACGGGACTTCAACTGGAACATTTTAACAGTTCTTATCTTTCTATGGTAGCTCATGATGAATGTGCTCTCCTCGCCTGTCTTGAAGGTTTGGGTGGGTGGACATGTGGTAGGTTGATGTGCTGTACTCTTTCCATTTTATTGTTTGAAAACTGCAGCCTTCATGGTGCCACATTTCCACCTTTTCACTAATAATGAGACTTTGAAAGCCAAATTGTAGCAATGAACTTAAGGCGCTGGAATAAAAAGGGGCTGAATATAGAAATTCTATATATTTCTTTCCTTCTCCTTTTATCTTTTACTAATGAGCTACTATTAAACAGAAGTTAGTGGGTGTAGCATGGCGAAAAAGAAGGGGAAAAGAATGAAGAGATTAGAATATTTTATTGAGTCAAGGTATTTGATCACTGTTGTTATGTAAGCCAATATAATTTTTTGGAAGAAAAACCCCTGCTTTTCACAAATTCTGCTGTTTTGACTTTATGTGAATTTCATAAGAGATTACCATCTAACATTTGTGCTTGAATACTTGTACTTGAATGTAAGAGGATAAAGTGATTCTGTGTAAACTGATGCTTTCATTGTTAACTAAGGAAAGAAGTAGAAATATGGTCAACATGACTTTTTTCATCTTTTCTTCTTTAATCAAAGGGAAATCAAATCCAGGCCCAGAGAAAAAGCAGCTGTCTGCTAAACAACTTTGCAGTCCAGATCCCAGAGGTCATGTAAAACCCAGCCCACCCAAAACACTTTGTAAAAGGTAAAACCTTCAGCACTATGTGTCCTTCACCCTCTCTCCCTCTTCTGCTACTCTTTCTGCTTGACCTTAATGACAGCCCGACAACGAGTTTAAGATTTACTTGCACGTGAGGTAGCAGAGGTAGCCATTGCTAGATGGAATTGTCTTCAATTTTTGGCCTTTTATTCGATCTCTCTTAACCCATTCCTTGTTGCTCTGCCTCTTTGTAATTTTTCCACAAAGGTTCACCAGTTTTTCTGAAGGGATTTAGTGTATTTGTTGGACTATTAGGCAGTTCAAATCCTTACCAACATATGTTAAAAAAAAGTAGGAATGTATTCCAGTATGATATTTATTTAAGCTAAACCAGCCCATGAGTCTTCTTTGATATGAACAATACTGTTGTTGCTTCAGTTGGCCTTCTGGAAGATGAGGTTCTATCCAGTTTCAAGCCTTTTGCAGCTCTTCGTTTTCCTCAATCCATCCATCAAATCTAACAATCGGACCCTTGCAGTGCTCAAGCAATATATCACCATAAGCATGATAGTGTCACCACTAGACTTAGACTTAGAGAGATTTATTTTGTCATTTTGTATACACGAGTGTAAACAAAAAAAAAATTAGGGTTAAAAAAGCTCTAGACAATTTCATTTTTAAAGTGCATCCTTGAAAACAGTAATAAATACTTAAAAAATAGTAATATAAAACATATGACTGTATTTATATACAGTTCTAACATAATTTTTTTTAAATAAATAAAATAACCCATTTTACACAACATTCACCAGTCGAATGGCAGAGGGGAAGAAACTGTTGTGGAATCTGCTGGACGTGCATCAGATGCTTCGAAGTCTCTTCTCAGAGGGCAGCAGGGAGAACAGTCTATGGTGGGGGTGTAAGAGGTCATTTATGATGTTGCGGGCTCAGGACACGCAGCACTGGGATGAAATATCTTTAATGGAGGGAAGAGGAGCCCTGATGATCTTCTCTGCTGTTCTTACTACTCTTCTCACCTTCTTCCAGTCAGGGGCGCTGCAGCCTCCACACCACACAGTGAGACAGCTGGTCAGAACCCTCTCTATGGTGCTTCTGTAGAAGGTGGGGAGGATGGGTGGGGGCAGGTGGGCTCTCCTCATCTTCTGCAAGAAGTACATGGCTTTTGTGCTCTTTTGATCAGTGAGGTGGTGTTTACATTCCAGGTGAGGGTGTCTGTGATGTGCACCCCCCAGGAATTTGGTGCTGTTGACCACCTCTACAGCTGAGCTGTTGATGACCAGTGGAGCGTGGTTAGGCCAGTTCTTTTCTGAAGTCCAAGATGATCTCCTTCGTCTTCTCCACATTCAGGATCAGACTGTTATATTTGCACCATTCCACCAGCTGCTCCACCCCCTCTCTGTAGCTCTGGTCGTCGTCATCACTGATGAGGCCCACCACCGTGGTGTTGTCTGTCACTATGTTACATCGTGGAGATATAACGCTTCCAGATATGTGGCAGTCTTAGTTTTCCACCACAATTAGAATTACAAATGTAAGCCTAAAACCTTAATATTTTTTCCATCTCATCAGAGCTACTGTGTCCAAGCCATGGTGTGTGGCAAACAGCCAACTAGACCCCTTTGGATATTGTCTTTGATCTAAAAATGCCTTACATTTCTATAAAATGTACTCCCTGAACTTTCTTTTGTGTTCTTAGGTCTTAACGTTGCTGTTTATTCATTAATGTTATCACTAAAAACCTCCCAGAGCTTCACTAATCATCTTATTTCATGCTGAGATTTAGTTATGAACTGGTTGACTCTAATTATGACTTAGCTGATGACTGAAGTCAGTGGTTTGCTGGATTTTATTCAGTGGTATTGGATTTAAAGGGGCAAAACACAAATGAAATCAGAACATTTGTGGGGTGTGGAGACTTTTCCAAGATACTGTAGAGCAGTATGTGAATCTATAACTAAAAGCATAAATTCTACAACTTTATACAATCAAGCTCCTTTTAAACCACCATACACTTCGCTGTACACTACATCTTGGTCGCAGTTATATCCAACTTCTTGGCAAGTTTCAAATCCAATTAATCTGCCTCCATCTGTCGATCTCCTCATTTGTCAGCTTTTACACTTTCCCAGCGCAGAGAGGCTAAAAGCTCTACTTTTTTTGTCGACCTCATCAGCTGTGTGTCAGCTTGAGGGGCATATAACTCTACACATGATGTCAGGGGGCTGTTGTTACAATCCATCCACTTATCGATTTGCTAGGGGCAGCTGGACCTGTTAAAAGTGGAGGTGGGGGAGTTGGACCATAAAACATTTTTACAGGAAATCTGGTCCATTGCCCACTGCTCATACACCAACCTCACAACCACTTTCAAGCTATTTTAAAACACAAATGTTTCTGGAACTTGTTGCTGACAAAGAGGGAGCCTACTTTAAAGAATCGTTCACTGATCACACTACTGGGATCGGTTTCATTTTCATAAAATGAACATCGTGGAGAGAAAAAAAAAAGTGTGAGAGGCCTAAATGTAGAAGAGGTCGAGAACGATTAATCACATATGGAAAAAATAAACTAATTTGTTAATGAAATCACACAGGATTTTAAAATTGAGAACAACCCACTCAGAGCATTTCTTAAAACAAAACTGTACAAATATATATTTAAACAGTAATTTAAGATCTTTTTTTTTTTTTTTGTAAAAATGCTCCATCCAGAACTCCTCAAGTGGGTTAGCTTTAGCTTCACCTGGTCTTTTTTCAACCTTACTTCACAGAAATTGAAATAGCCTGACAGATTTAATATGATGGCGTGGATAAGATATTTATAAGAGAGATTAGACAGCCCCTTGGTTCCCCTTTCCTCCAGTAAGCCAGAGCTCTACAGCTCCAAATGGCTCTCTATTAGATTTGGGTGCCCATCTGGGCAAGGCTGGCAGTGTTGGATATTGTGACTGCACTGAGCAGACCTAAGACAGGGATGAGGTCATGTCTCAGAGAATGCAGAATCACAAAGAGACCTTATTATCAGGACCTTAATCCTATCACATGAAGCCAAAGCGCCCCTGATGTTCAGTGTAGCATGATTCTGCCAACTATCCCTGCTGCGTATCCCCTTTTAGTCATCTAATATGATTGAAAGCAAACATTTTCCTATAAAAAGACAACAATTTTTCCCCAGCTGTTCAAAGGCTACTTTCTTTTTCTGGTCAGTTATGATGACCAAAATTGCTGATATTTTGGCAGGTTGCTCCTGACAGAACTAGTGTAACATAGTATGGTTTGTAGGCTGCCTTGCTTCCTCACACACACCTTTACACTGTCGGCCACTAATTTGGGTATGAAGATCAGGTATTGTAAAGGCCACTACAATACACTGAAAGCATCATTCTTCCACCCATGTTCTTCATCTCTGCTATGGTTTTTATTTTAAGTTTGCAGCTCCTCTTTTGTTGTTTTTTTCTTTTTGATCCAAATCTGATATTGCTTATAATATTCAGATTCATTCATTTTAGTTTTATCAGACTGCAGGACTCTTAATGCAGCTGCAAACAGCTTTCTGGCTTTTCATGGCCCTTTTGAAGTGGGTGTGTTTTGCCTGCTGAGCAGCCCTTCAGTTTATGTTGGTACAGGACTTTTTTTTACCTTGAAAAAGATTTTCTCGGTTTCAGGGCGGGCTTTTCATATGGTCATCTCTGGCATACTGAATCTGTCACCTTCCTGAATGAGATCACAGCTCATCATTCCAGTGCTGTTCCACTGGTGTAAAATATTTGCGGTGACTTTCAGACACCTGGATATTGTATCGAAAGATAGCATTGTCGTTGCCCATCATTTATTTCAAAAAAGCCCAGAGTGGTCACAGAAATCACTTGAATCGGAACAACTTAATAATAAATAAAAATTCTATGAAGATAAACTTATAAAAATCAGACATTTCTTTTCAACCACGCTTCAAAAGAATGATTTGAAAAAAATAAACTAATGAAACAAGCCACAATATACACAAAAGTAATGTTAGCCATTACCTAATCTTGGTCAATCTTTTGAGGCAATCATGCAATCGAATGATTCCTGTAACAGTCGGTGAGACTTCTGCACTGCTCTGCAGGTCATTCTGCTCACATCTCATGAGCAAAGTGATCCACTTTTCTCAGGTATAAGGGCGCCTTTTCCAGAAGGCATGTTCCAGCTCCTTACAAAGATGATCAATAGGATTTAGGTAAGGGCTCATAGAAAGCCACTTTACAATAGTCCACAGTTTTCATCCCAGCTGTTTTTTTGTGTTTTTAGCTTTGTGTTTTGGGTCATTATGCTGTTGCAAGACCCATAACCTGCGACTGAGACCAAGCTTTCTGACACTGGTCTACGCGTTTCTCTTTAGAGTCCCTTCATAATCTTGAGATGTCATTGTACCCTACTGAGATTTAAGACACCCTACCCCAGATGAAGAAAAGCAGCCCCAGAACATTGTCTCCTTAATGTATCACAGTAGGGACAGAGTTATTTTGTAAATATGCTTCATTTTATCTTCTCTGAATGTCAAGCTGATGTGCCTTGCCAAAAAGTAAAATTTTTGTCTCATCTGTCCATGGGACATTCTCCATGAAGTTTTGTGGCTTGTCAACTAGTTCGGCAAATTCCAGTCTGGGTTTTTTTTTTACAACAAGTGTTTCCTACTTGGTGGTCTTCCATTAAGTCGACTTTGGTTCAAATACTGACGGATGGTCTGACTCAGATGTTCCTTGAGCATGAAGTTAACCTTTAATCTCTTTAAAATAAGTTTTTCAGGGCTCTTCTTTTACCATTTATATTTTCTGTCTCTTACCGGTAATTTTCATCCCGTGGCCACATCCAAAAAGGTTGGCTACAGTCTATGAATCTTAAATTTCTTAATAATCTGTGCAACTTTAGTCACAGGAACATCAAGCTGCATATAGATGGTCTTAATGCCTTCACTTTTAACATGCTTGTCTATAATTTTTGTTCTTTTCACCTGAGCCAACTCTTTCCTTCTCTTCCTCTAGCTCACGTTGAGTGTGGTAAACAGTAGTCTTAAATATGGCCCCTCTGACTCATTGCAAGATTGTAGACACCTATGATGGTAATTAGTGGAGACACCTTGATTTCACATGTTCCTTCGGTCACATGATTTTTAGTCTTCTCTAGAGGCATCATCATTTTTGTGCAGGTTTGTTTCATTAGTTTATTTTTCAAAATCATTATTTTAAAGCGTGGTTTAAAAGCAGTATTCGACTTTCTTTTTTTCATTTTCAAGTTACTTGTGGATTTTTTTCTTCAACAAACGAGCGACACTAACGGGTTTGTCGTGTGTATATATAAAAGCCCAAATTTCGCCTGATTTCCCTCATATTTTCCATATCACACAAGGAAGAACTATAAATGACTAACTTTATATACATCCACACGTCTGCCTCCATTTTTCAATTAAATATAATGAAATAATTCAGAACTAAGCAGACAAGCTTTCTTAAATATTATCAAGCAATTTATGTCACATTGCAATAGGAACGAGGTATGTATTAATATTTGGTTTCAGCTGTAAAAACACTTTAATCTTTAACTTTTTCTCCTACAAAAAATAAACATATGTAAATACATGTTTGTGTCCACAGACTGCAGCCCTGTGAAGACAAAGAAGGGAACATAAATCAACATCATTGTTGACTTGTGTTCTCTATTTATCCGTACTTACTTATTATAACTACCCCCCCCCCCCACACACACACACAACAACCATCATGCGTTTCAGAATGACCTCGTAATTTGAGGCCAAGTTTTCAAAACCTTTAGAAACATGTGCAATCTGAAATGCAGAAGGAAAACCACAACATGCAGTATAGCATGCTGCCTGCCTGTGTTTTCAGCACTTTACTGGTGCTGCACAGAGACAAAGACAGTGGAGACAGCTCGCAGTGACAAAGCATGTACAGCTTTAACCAGACTGGCCACAGAGCTGAGATCTCAGTTCCTGTCGGTTGGCGGACTGCAGAACGTTCTGCACAACAACTGCACAGTCACACAGCCAGATAAATAAAGGCAGCGGAAGGACATACGCCCACATGTATCTACTTGCGTGCAAATAATCTTACGTGTGCTCACATGCACATGAAAAAAACGGACTTCTCAGCACCTGCTCACAAGTTACTCCTCTGTTGCAACAGGGACACCTAGTGGTAGGAGAAAATATTCTGACAGTCGGGCCTGGGTATCTAGAAGAAGAGTCTTGTGATATAAATCAGTTTTAATTCCTCAAAATGTTTCATTTCCATCTTTCTCTCTTATGCATAATTATCTCAGGCTACTCCACATATAAGAACTGTGTGAAAATAGTTACCAAATGTTATGTAACTTGGCTCTTTGTGTTTTTTTTGTGTGTTTTTTGTTGTTACAGCAGTAAAAATGCCGAGGCTGAGCGAGGCAGACCCACTGGCTGCAAAGCAGAACAAAAAACAGGTTTGTCCAGATCCATTTAATGGCCCTCACTGTTCTCTTATTTTTTCAACAAGCTACTATATTTATCAAGCAACAAATTGAACCTTTATTACATAACATAATTATCCATGATGTCCAATGTTCTTTTCATGCAAATAAAAAAACATACAGTAGGATAAATTACATGAAATGATGCCGATTTTCACAGTTTGTACCATGCCTTGGTTCTCTGTTAATGTGAAAACTTCATCTTTTTAAACTTTGACTCAGGTGTCATCATTAATAACCCACTTTTTTTTTACCATATCTTTAAAACAAATCTGTCAATAGCTTAAAGAGAGAGGTCGGTTTCTGCAGCCACTGCTTCCTGTATCACACCAAGCAAGGTGGTATGCAAATATTTCGGAAAAAAGAACATGCATGGTGTTTGAGAAAGTAGAGACATTTGCTTGTACACACACACACATGCACACAGGTTTTTGTTCTCAGATGCAGCCTGTTTCATGTTGGTGCAGAAAGAAATAAGAGGAAGTTTAGCTGTGGATGGTGACCTTTTGCTGTGGCATCAAACTTCCTGCTGTTTTATTTTAAGATGATGAACTTGTGAACCTCCCTCACCAACTCTATGTTTGCAGGAGCTAACTAGCAAACTGCAATTGTCTCTGCATGTTTCAGAGCTGAGGCATGGAGACATCACCACATGCACTGATGAGGAGGATGCAGAGTCACTGGTGTGGAATAATGTGATTCTTCCTCTTCTTCAAGAGCTGGAGAGTGTGGCTGCAGGTAACTACACTGTGTTTGCTAAGTAAATGCAAACACACTGCATACATAACTCCCGATTCTTCTCACCACAATAATATATGTTTTTGTTCTTTGCAAAATCGAAAAATTCTTATTTTACATTTGATAAGCAATGGTGGAGATTCTGCTCTTTTTACTTGAGTTTAACTTATATTCCCTCCCTCATCTTTCCTTATTACATTTCATTTTCAACCAGCAGGCTGAGAAATTGATTTCTCAACATTGGCAGATAGTCATGCATAAAGACTCACAGGATGAAAAAGCACAGCCATCTCAGCCTCTGAGGAAAGACAAACAGAATAGTGTTATGTTTGGCGTCTGTACAGAATCTGTTCTTTTAGCCTGAAATGATGGTCTGGCAGCCATGAAATGAAATCTGTGTCCCTAAATATTTCAGCCCTCTACAAATTTAATGGAAATTTCATTTGAAAGATAAATATTAAATATTTATTGTACTAAAGGGCTGCTGGCTCATGCATTAAACACGTTTGAGACTGTGAGAAATTGCACTGAAGCGTAGAGTGTGAGACAGCGTTCAGCCTGTCTTAGAAATGGCCTCTTATTTATGCAAGGAAAATGTTTGGTTTCCCACAAAAACAGGAGGAAAAGACGCCACCCTTTTTTCTTCCTTTGCATCAGCTGCCTGTTGCTGTATTGTTCTTCTGCATTTTAGCATCGAAACTCAAAGCTGCTGCCCCAAAGGAGGAAGCCAAATTTATTTTCTGCTGACAAACACCAAGCTACATAAATAAAGCTCCTCAGCTCTGTGCCTTGCAAAACTATTCATATCCCTCAACCTTTTTCCACATGTTCTAACCACAAAAAATGTATTTCATTTCATAAACTATCATGCTATAATGCATACATTTACTAGAAAGAAAGTAGGGGTGGATAAACATTTAATACCAATATATTTTGCAATATGATTTTGTTCAGTAATGGCAAAAATATTTCAATTAATATTACATTCTATGATTGAAAGCTTTATGTAGATTAATGTGTTTTGTCTTTTAAAGCAAATATTTCTAAAATGTTATTTATTATCATAAGTTTTGCAGGCATCTGCTGTTGTTATATTTGTCACTCTTTCTGAAACCTTGATCCGGTTGTTATGAATATTAAAACTATATTGCATGATTAACCCAAATAGGAAATATATAGCAATATAAATGTTGGCCCTATTGTTAAAAGAAGTGATGTTTTTATTTATGAAAACTAAACCATGTGACATGCATTTAGTACATTCTGTATCGATTTACTAGCCTGGAAAAAAAATCCAGAGCAACCAGTTGCCTTCAGAACTCACTGAATAGTTACAATAAAAACAGATACCCTAAAAGATGTGCAGCTATAGTTGCAGAGAAAGGCGGTTTTCCAGAGTATTGATCACTCAGGTGGGCTGATTACATACGCATGATCTAGCACTTATAATCTGAATAACAAAATGAACTCTGTGGTTGTAATATTTTTTGAAAAAGTTAGAGGTGTGTTAGAACGGCCTAGTTAAAGTCCAGACCTAACTCAAGTTCAGGCAACATCTGAATAGCTGTCAGAGGCGATCTTGATCTTTAGCTATTTAACAAAGAAAGCTCCAACAATATTTACATTTTCAGTTGTGCGAAACCTTTAGAAACGTGCCTAGCAGCACAATAGGTTTGGTATTCAGCTGAACAAACTACTGAACACAATTCCTTTAGCATTTGTCAGATTTATTTACTCCTTGTAAAGTCACACAGCTTACACAGAGACATTTTTGCCAACACACACAACAGATGTTTTTTTTGTTGTTTCCTTTTTTGTGTTTCTGTCAGTTCTGTCACTTTATATAGACCTATACCTGACATGATTACTTTGCTGTGTTTTTGCCATGCCTAGGCAGCTTGGAGGGCTCAGTGGACCGCATGTGTGTCCTGTGTGACCGTCTGCAATGCACCTTGGCTGACGCGGACATGCTCAGCCGACGCTGTAAGCAGAGGTCTGGGATCCTGCGAACTCTGTTCCGCCTTGTTGATCTCCACTCTGCCCAGCTCAACCTGCATATCGCAGAGCTCTGCCTTGCAGTGAGTGATGTAGAAGTTTGCAGAGGCGTGGGTGGATGGTTGTCAGCATGTCTGCCGTAAATCTCTATTACAAAGAAGCAGGAGGCATCTTGATGTGAAATAACTGAAGTGTTTTGCTTTGTTATCTTCTTGTGTTTCCAGCTCAGTGTGAGTGGAAACAACCTGCTGAACATCTGCAAGCTCATCTTCCAGATCAGCCGCAGTGAAAGCAACGACAGCCTCTTTGAGAAAAACTCCATCATTGGTCAGATTTTCATGGTTTATCGTTCTATGGCTTTAGGTCCTAAAATATACTCCATCATGTGTTATAATTTTCTTTTTGGAGTATCATTGTGTTTAATAACACTAATAAGACTGAGCTGCATGATTTTTTTGTTTCTAGATTCATTGCTGTTGGTGCTGAAGAATGAAGATGTGTCTGTTTCTGGTGAAGCCCTACTCTACTGTGTTGGTACTTTAAAGTTCCTCTCTGGAAATGCTGCGATCCTCAGGCTCCTACTGGCCAAGAACTGCATTGGTGTTGCACAGGAACTCATCCAGAAGCTCTGTATGGTGGAAGACGGCCACATGACTGTAGCAGGACACATCCTCGTACAGGTTTGTCTCAAACCTGACCACTTCTCCAGCGTAGGCTAATGATTTTTGTAACGTTAAACATCTTTTTGTTTTTCATGTTTCTCTTTAAATGTTTGCCTGAGTGAAAACCAAAAAGCTGTTGCGTGTTACTAAAGAGGAATCAAATGTTGCATGATTTTTTTTCCAGGGTTTTTCTTTCTTTGTTTGTTTGTTAGCTTTTAAGCTAAGGGGGATTTTCCAACTATTAGGTGAAAATGTTGTTGTTTATGTCTGCCACATTGCTGCTCTTCAAGCCTGTTACTTTCTGTAAACCAGGCCGGTCCAAAGCACTATGTGCTCCTCTTTGTTGAACATGATTGCTTGAAACCACATAAGCTGGCCCAAACATCTTGAACCAGTCTGTCATTTGATATCTAGCACAGCTCATTACCCTGTTAAAGGGCACACTGCAACGTTCCTCAGCTTTAAGTATGGCCATATGTTAGGAATTACAGTTTCCTTCTTGTGATAGAATGATTTATTTCCTTACTAAACTTTTTTTTCTGTGTGCAAAACCCTGAAGGCTACAGGCTGGCAGCTGTTCTTCTTTTTCCAAACATCTCATCCTCCTTTATTTTTTTAATCCCTTCTCTCTCTCTCTCTAACCGCGACAGCTGACAGCCACCCTGAGGAACCTTGCAGATCATCCTGATTCCCGCACACTGTTTGTTTCCCTCTACGTTATTCCAGACCTGTGCTTGGTGTTGCATCGTTACTGCGAGGACAAAGATATCTGCACTAACATTTCCAGAATTTTCAGGTACATTGTCTTTATTCTATGATTCATAATTGTAATAAAAATTGATCTTTACCATTTTTTTTTCTACATCACTTCTTCTTGCTAAATGAGGTATTGTCTCTCAACGAGAATCAGAACTGTCAAAAGACCCAAGGGCGGTTATAAAACTGCCTTGATCTGAAGTGGTTACACAGAAACAGAAACAGTTTCTGTTTGCCTTTGTCTGCACTCATCAAAGTTTCATGTCTAAAGCTCTTACTGCCTTGTATTGAGCTCCATCCATCTTCTAATCTTCTCTAACGAGCGTATGTGTCCCTGAGGGAAGAAAGCGTCCTCACAGCATGATGCCTCTACCATCATGTTTCATCATTGAGTTGCAGCGTTCAGGGTTAGGTGTGGTGTAAAGTTTCAGCACACACAGCATGCAGAGGTTTTTTGTGTCTCCTACATGACTTGTGGTGAACTGCAAACAGTATAACATCTGCCTTTTTTGGGGCCAACTTCTATAGACGTGGATGTTTGAAGTTCACGACTAACAGTTGTGCTGTAAACAAAACCTCCTATCCAAATTGTGGATCTCTGATGCTCCCGACACAGTTTTTTAAGCTCCTTTGCTGCTTTACTACGTATCGGTCTACCTTTCTCAGCCTGTGTATTTCCATTAATGGTTTTGTCCTAATATATGAATATCAAATTGAATATAGCTCTATCAAAGGTTTAAAGATTGGCTTATTTGTTTATAACTTAACCCTGATGCAACCTTAGCTTATCTCTGACCTTTTGACTGTGTTACTCTATAATGCTGTTTGTTCACCACCGTTCATTTACAAACCACCAAAGCCTCACATAGTAGATTTTTATTTATGCTGAGGCTAAGTTGAACACTAGTTGACCTTAACTGCTACCACTCAATGCAGCAGCTGATTTGATATCTAAGAAAGGAGAAAAGGTTCAGGTTAGGGTTTCTTTCCCAGGCCGTTAAAATGTGGAAGAAGTCTGCCTCTCTCTTTATTTGTTTGATCAGTTAGTCTCCCTAGCAGTGTGCTCAGTGGGTTGATTGGTCAGTGGTATTTAATGTCCCCTCTCTCCCTCAGTAAACTCTCCTCTTACTCCGAGTGCTGTCTCGCTTTGGCCCGGACCCCCAACTGCTACTCTCTAATTTTAGATCTGCTGAGCAAACATTACCAAAAGCAGGTGAGTCCACAAGCCCCCTCTGTGTTTCTCATGCGTTCTTTGCTCTATAAGGAGAGCGTACATAGTGTTTTGGGTTTTTTTTTCTCTAAAAACCCAGAAGAACATAAGAAGAATAGAACTGGGGTGCTTGAGTTGAGCTATGAGTAAAGGGGGCCTAAAATTTGATTGGAGGAAAGCAGCAATAAGGATGAATAAAACATTTATTTTTCTGTGATTTGTCTTGTTACAGCATCATAAATGCTTTTTACCTTTTGAATAATAGAACCACTTCTTTAGGTGCTTGACTTTGAGAAAGTAACTTTGATCTCTGAGAATAATCTGAACAAAAACGATCCTAAGTCATGTTTTTAATTTTCAGTAAATCCTATCAGTTTAAACAGGTAATTACAGACACTTCCTTATGTCTCCACAGGACCTCGTTGTACGTCTTCTCTTCACCCTCGGGAACCTGACAGCCAGAAGCGACGAGCATCGGCAGCAGCTCTTTCAGTGCAACAACTGCATGCCCACTCTTCTCCAACTTTATAACAATTACCAGAGGAGAAATGTATCATTAGGCACAGCCTTCCAGAAAGAGGCGCCTTCCCCTAGAGAACCTGCTGCTGATGCTCTGATCGACGATGTGCTGGTGAAGCTGGTTAGGGTGCTGGCAAACATGAGCAACCACCCAACAGTTGGTCCATCACTGGCTACTAACGCAGCATGCATTCAGCTTCTGATGGAGACATTAGGTAAGAAGAGAAAAAAAAAACTTGAATTACTGAAATAAATAAATAACAAGCATGAAGAGACTTTTTTAAGCCCTCTGTCTGCAGTCCCACAACCTATCAAATTCACCAAAATTTTTGCTTGGAATAAAATATAGTCTTTCAAAAAAAGCATAGAAACCAATCATGTTTGACTCGGTATCAAGCAAGGGGCTTAAACTTCCCTCTGAATGCACATGCATTAAAAGTAAATAAAATATAGGTGATTTTAGATCTGTACATCCCTTTACTATTGCTGCCCTGTACAGCGGCCTATATCTAAACAGGAATTGGTTTAAGAAAATTAGTTCTGATTAGTTTAAAGTTAACTGTTTAGTGGAGTTTTACGTGTGCAAGGTAGTCAACCACTTCCCCAGTGCTGGGAAACCCATTCCTCATTTTGTCAGTTCTCACCATCTCTGTGCTTTCTGCTCGATAGATCACACATCCTCCTTTGGTCTACCTGTTTTTGTAATTCTGACAGAGCAAAGTGCTTTGCTGCAGGAGCAGGATGTACTGTCACTTCTCAGAGCTGACTTGGTTTACTTGCATGAATTTCTTCCATGTGGTTTGTTGGTTTAGGACAGGTTGAGCTGATATGTAGGAGGGTGTGAAACTGTTGTGTGCTGTTCGCCTCCTACACTTAACTCTGAGACAGTTGGAGGAGAAACATAAACAATTGGAACTAAAAGAGTTAAAAAAAAAATGTGAAAAAACAACGAGCAACATGTCATGTACAGTAAGTATATTCTGTTAGTGAAACCTGAAAAAAAGACGTGATTTATTGAGCATGAAAACCGATAGGACAGATACGAGCACCAAAGACGGGAATGAAAACTTTCAGTAAAAGATGAAAAAGCAAACTTGGCAGATTGATGTCCTGTTTTGAATTCACGCTGCACCGAGCTGCTATTTGTTGCACAGTTTCGAGGGGGGGGCATCAAAACAAAGCACCATTTCCAGTCAGAACCAGAAACAAAATTCTGTGAGGCACAGGCGCCGGCTGACAGCTCGACCGCAATATCTGCGATTTACGACCGATTACACGGCATGTGCTGCTATATCAGGAACAGACTTCATTTAAAGCCTGCTCTCAGTGGCGTTCTTCATGGGGCTTCATCACATTGACCTTTGTATTGTCACACCGCATCAGGCTGAATCTAATATGAAAGGCACCAATATTTGCTTTAGTTCTATTTCTATTCTGAAGAGCTTTGAGATCCATTAAGAGCCGCTGTTTCCATCGGGTTAAACTTCTGTCAGTCTCCCTTATGAAATATTAGCCAGAGTCATCTATTGATTAACTTAACATTGGAAAATTCATTGGAGGAAAGAAGCAACCCCAGATATTCATCTTGGCATTTAGAGATTAATCTCAGATTATCTGCATGTCTGTCCTCTTTTACATAATTGAGAGAATGTGTTTTCCCTAGGAGTCATACAAAACGTGGTTTCTATTTATTCTTTAACTTGTTTTCTCTTTTTTTGTGACATTTGGGTAACAGAGCTGAGGTCTGTAGAGGAGAGCGAGGAGCTACTGGTGAATGTTGCTGCTGCCATTAACAACCTCTCCTTTTACCAAGAAGAAACCTCTGAAATCAGAAACAAGCATCTCATCATCGCAAAGTGTAAAACTAAAAGAAAATCTGAATTTAGATGAGGTAGAGAGATTTATCTGGGACTAATCTACATTTCCTTTGGGTTACAGTGATGCTGAAATTGATGCTTAGTTCAAGCATGGACGCCATATTAGAAGCTACTCGTGTTTATGGAAACTTGTCCCTACATAAGGATGTGAGGGAGTTTGTCATGCAAAATGAAGGTATGTGTTCAACAGAAGAATAAATCAACACTTAACTAATTAGGTTTGTTCTAAACTAAGCTTGGTTTTCCTTTAGTGTTGTAGTAGAGTGAGCTGGTAAACCTGCTGCTTCATATCCTGACCTGCTCATCTGTGTGCTGCTTCACAGCAACTTGCATTTATTACTGACATTATCACAAAAACAATCATAAACAACCTTGATGGAAAAGTCCTCGACCAACATGTCTGCACATTTACATGTACAGAAGTCGGTCATCGAGGAAGTTCCCCTGGGAATTTCTTTTTCTTTTACTAACATTTGTCAGCAGTGGCTTGAATGTATTAAATATAAGGAAGTTTAAATTAATTTACAAACTTTTGCATAATTTTCTTTTCTTGTCAATTTCTTCACTATTGTGAAAACAGGCCAGTAAAGTTGTAGTGTGTAGCTGCTATCTACAGGAAACGTAAAAGTAGACGGCATGGTTGAAGTCAGATAATTATGCAACATTTATTCTCACTATTTTATATTGAGTTAGATGTAACTACTATCCACTCTCTAGGCCACTGATAGCTTAAATCTTAAAGGTATAGTGGAGGATTTTTGCAAATATTTGAAAAAACCCGCCCTCTCCACTTTGCACAACCCTGTTCCCGCTCCTGAGAGGGAGCATGCACAAGCCCATTTCTTCTCGTGCACGTGATGCAAACAGCACACAAAGTTGCTGTTTGCAGCGCTCACGTGAGCTTACTTTCAAAAGGAAGATTTGCAATCTCTCCACTATGTCAGACTCATCACCGGTAGTAATAATATTAATACTAATAGTTGAAGTTTCTACATCACACTGTAGAAATTTACCTCTGCATGCTACCCATCCCCTTGGGGAGCAAAGTGATGGGGACAAGCGTTTCAACCAGAAGGATTGACAATTAGTAGGACCATTTATTTAGATGATCCATCTGGAAAAAAAGAACATCCTCCACTACCCTTTAAACATTTGGGTGAAATGGAGACACACTTAGCAGTGCTTCAAGCACACTGCTTCATTATTTGGCATCACAAAGAAAAGGATCTATCAGGATTTCAGGAGGAGCACGGATCTCCACAGGTCTCAGTCATTCTTGTGTACAATTTCCAAATGAGTTCTTCATCTTTTTAGCAAAGAGCTGGTAAGATATTCATTATCTACAGTGAAATAAATCCTGTACTGTCAAGGATTTAAAAGATAGAAAACCCACTTTGAAAGCCAAATCTGCAAAGCAGCGTAAGAAACCAGATTATAGTTTGTGAACTCAGACAGTCTGGAGGGAGGCTCTTACGTTTATAGACGCATCACATGATCTGATCAAACTTAAATTCCAGTGTTTAGCCTTAATAGCCATGGGAAAAAAACTTCATCAACTTTTGAAATGTTGAAGCAACACGAGTTAAAAAGTTAAATGCATAAGTACATTTTGGATTAAATTGAAATCAAAGTTTTGAAGCAGCCATCAGTCCCGTGACCCTAACTACTGCACAGCAGGAAGGATTTGGTTGGATTCAGTGTAGAATAGGGAGAAACAGTGGTTTACTGTGATTCACATATGCAGTATTACGGTGTTATACAGCCTATGTGAATCTTTAAGCTGTAATTTACCTTAAAAAATACTCTTTAAAACAAGGCAGTGTGAGGATCTGTTTATCACACCCAAGCTTTTTATCTTCAGGGCCAACTCTGTCACAGCATAAACATGCCTGTTCACTCTGCTGATAGCTGCTTCTTATCTCCCCCTTTTTGTCCACATCCTCTCCCTCAGTGCACAAGTTTGTGGTGACTCTGCTTGACTCAAAGAGAGCCGAGATGTGTTTTTCCGCCTGCGGGGTCCTGACCAACCTTGCTCTGGACCCTCCCAACAGGGTTCGTCTTGAGCTGGAGGGGGCTTCTGCAAAGTAAGGACAAAAGCACTTGATAAATAGCCTTCTGTAAAACATGCTTACTCAGAGAAGCAATTGTGGTTTGAAGGCACAATCATCTGTACCTACTGCAAAGCAAACATTAAAACTCAGCAGTCTTACATGTACATATTAACAGGATTCCTCTGAATGGCAGATTGGATCAGTGGAAGATTGGAGAAAAGCATAAAGTTTATCTTAATAGCAAAACAGAGCAGGGCTGAGGTTTATCTAAAGATATTTCATCTATTAAATGGTATTTTATAGCTGAGACTATATATAAAAAAGAAGTGTATAAATAATAGATCTGTAGCTGGAGGCATAGGACAGAAAACTTGGCTTTTTCCAAAAGTTGTTTGTTTAGTTTCTAGATTAATCTGTGTATGTTTAAATGATGACATCTGAAGCTGAAAAAAATCTTTTTTTTTTTTTACTATTCTTGCCTGACGACTAAGCACCACTGGAACAGCTGATTTTATTTCCACCTCCCACAGCCTCTGTTTTTGTCCAAATGAATGTCCAGTGAAGGGCACTTAATGTGCACCACCCTGATTGTCATGTGAGTTCTCCTTCCTCGAGTCACATGAAGAGTTTGTGTGTGTGAGCAGGTTGGTGGACTGTCTGAGGGATTTCGGGCCAGCTGACTGGCAGTTGGCAGGCCAGGCCTGTCAGGCCCTGTGGAACCTGATTGGTCACGCCGCCGACAAGCTGCTTCAGACAGAGGAGAGAGAGACGCTGCTGGAGATCCTCATCGCGTACTCAGGTCGGTTTTATGACTTGCCCTTACATAACCAGGGGAGGGATGCAAACTGGAACAGAACACATTCACACGTCAATCTGTCACCTGATGGGAAAATGACACATTTATTATAAATATATCAATGTTATACTGTGACTCGCTGAATTAATTACACCATTCTAACCATTTCATTCTACACAAACTTACATTGTTTAAACTGGATTTAATGTAATAATGTTGACACAAAGTATTGGATAAATGTAAGCTAATAATAAAGGATTTTTCATTTCTTTTTTTTTTTACAAACAAAAAAGCTTTAAATCTTTTCTAGAATCTGTCTTCCACCTTTTTAGTGTTTATAGTTTCCTGCTGTAACTCCAACCTTCGCCTCAGTCTTTTCAGCCTCTTCTTTTTAGTTTACCCTTTATTTACCTCCATCCATCTTATCAATAACTCTATTGCATTAGACCTCTGCAGCTCCTCCATTGTCACCATGGGTCTATTTGCGTTTTTCCAATTGATCAAGTATCAGAATCAAAGGAACTGAATCCAATGGCTTGATGCACATTGAACCTTGTTACCTTTTTTTAATTTAATTTATTTTACACAATGCTTTTCTGTCACATAAAAAGTTTTAAATGCCTAAGATCTCTTTATTCACTTTTGTTTTTTTCATTAGATGAAGAGGAGGCTTTGAAGTGGAGACAGAATGAAGATGAGCCGGATTTCCACAGAGTGTGCTGGGAGTCAGAGTTTTTACCAGTTGCTCAAAAATTGATAAAGGTATTCGATTCCTGAGGAAATGAGGGCTTGACACGATCAGTTTTGATTGCCTAGAAACGTCTGGTTTGTTTTCATCCAACATGCTGAGTACAGAGAGCTCCTGCAGTCATCCTCAGTCATTCTATTCACTGACGTCAGTGTTCAGAATGACTGAAAGCTGCTGTTTTTCACAGAGGATGAGGTCACAAACATTTTTACAGGAACTTCAGGTTGGGAACATGAAACGTGTGGTGGTTAATAATTAATGAGTGGACAGAACATAAAATGAAGTCTGATAAACGTGTGTATATATTTTATATTCTTTAAAGGTGTGAATTACTGTAAATATTGTATCTACTCTGTTTAACTCCAATGAAATTATTTATTCTATACAGTATTTAAACTAACTGACTTGTGTCAGTTACTCTGGACCTTAGATGAACTTTTCAAGCTTTTATCCATGTAGACTTGATTTCATTCTGTGTGGTAGATACTCAAATGATAATGTAGACTTCAAAAAGATTTATCCCCTGGAATAAAGATTGTAACAGTTGGACATTAAGAACTTGTGTATGGAGAAGTAGTGTAGAAAACAAGTAGTGTTTTAGTCGAGACCAAGACTTTATATGGTCTTGGTCTCTAAAGGCCTCGTCTCTGTACCCCTTGGTCTTGGTTGGTGTGGTTTTGACTTAAACACTAAAAACAAGGAACGAGTCTTTAGTCATTTGCTTTGTTAAAGCATTTATTGTTACACAGATAAGGGGCAAGGCAAATGTGCACAAGCTGCACTGAACAGCCAGCATTTCATAAGTCACGTTACTTAAAAAATATAAGAGAAATGTCACTTAAAGTTATGATAGTTTCCCTCACTTTCAGCACAATAGTGACCTGTAATAAGCACAAGACAAGCCCATGCTTAGAAAAAAAAAACCTAAAAGAATCAGACCATCCCCCTCTAGTACAACAAATTGGTTGATAGCGATGTTGTTCAGAAAAATAACCTAATCCATAAAAACTTGATGGGAGCCGTAAAATGTTGGACCAAGAGATGACTCCTAATTCCTGATGGTGAATATGCATTGAACAACAAACCCTTTGTGGTGAGTTAACATGGTCAGGAGCAAAACAAGACTTTGACCTCAACACAGGAAAAAGGGACCATTAACTCATCCTCTGCAGCTTTGAAGCATGGACAGTAAAATAAAGACTTAAAAGTCCCTGAAATGTCTCGATGCAAATAAGCTGGGCTAGTCCCCTAAGCTCAGCTTACTGGTGATGATCAGCTTTGTGTATGTAGAACATTATATGCAAGTCTTAAAAATCCACATTTTTAAATCATCTTGTCATACGATGAGTTAACATTTCCAGTTTCTGTTCAAATATTAAGTCATAGTCATGATTGTGCTCTTTTCCCAAACTGTGTTGTATTTGGATCTCCCAGAATTTTTCATGATTCAAGTTTGACAAAACTGCAGACAGTACACAAAAACTCAGTATAATAGTTTATTTTTTTACTTTTTCCATATTTTTATATAAAATGTGTCAGTAACTGACATCAGTCAGGAGCTTGAAAGAAAAACAAAACTTCGACTTCCTCTGAAACCACGTTCAAATGTACCATTCTTTTATCATTGCAGCTCTGCTCCTCCTCACATTATCGTTCGCCTGATTTCCTCAGTCCAACTTAAAAAGAATGCAGTACTTTACTGAATTTTAGTAAACAAAAGAAATAAGCAGAGGCTTCAAACCTCTGATTTAAAAAAAATGCTGCTTTTGCACTGGTTAGACTTCTCTCACAGGGAAAGAAGCACAGCTACAACTTTTTTTGCGTCCGAAAGCTATCGACCGCAGGCAGCCCCCTGTGTGAGCGCTGGATTCCCGAGCAGCGGGAATACAGCTCTGCTCACGAAAGAGCACTTTTTTAACGTTTAAAACAAAACAAAAAAAACAGAAGAGGTATTTTACTGGTAAAATTCACAATCAAAAGCTTTGAAAGAGTTTGGTCAACCAGCCAGGTGGGATAAGCGGAAGACGAGATATGACGGAAGCAAACCCCCTCCTGGAGAACTTGGTTTTCCAACTTTCCATTACATTAACATTTTTTTTCCCCCAATACAAGAAAAAAAAAAAGACATTAAAAGAACAGTTTTCTCCCAATAAGAGAGCTACAGCAGAAGCAAGAAGGCTTTCCTTCAAAGTGCCTCGCTTTTTTTTTTCCTAAATGAAATTCAAAGACATACATTTCAGTTTCTCCAATTCTTGAGAAATGCACACAAACACTCTCACCTCAGTTATCAGAAGAACAGAACTCATTCACACCTGTACAGTCAAACTCAAAAGGGCTCAGACAGTGTTTCTTTTGAGCTTTCCCACCCACATGTAGGGTTTTCACACTCCTCGGATTAGCTTACTTTGACGTTTGAGACTGGGGACGTGGTTAAGGGGTAAAAGGGTAGGGTGGGGGGTAATGCAATGGATTTTTAATAGACAGGGGCTTTTATAAAGGGATTAAGGGAACTGGGTGAGGGGTGATTCTGGGCATCAATATGATCCCACTAAAATACAGCTGGGAGCAGCAGCATCAGCACATATGCACACTGTGCTGGATATAGTTCAGGCACACGTAGAAAACACTGAAACAAACAAAAACACTAGAGTTAACGCATCCATCTGGGGTTACATTGAAAACATCCTCTACTCATCATACAAAAGTGAAAAAAAAAAAAAAAATGTTAAAGAAACTAAAACAGTGACGACAGAATCAAAAGTGCAGACTGGATGTGGCTGCACAGCTTTCTTTCTGGGAAATTTCCCCGGGATGCTCATTCCTATCAAAAGAGAACCGAGGCAATGCTGGAATACTGAAATGTACGGTAGTCCTGGATGTCTCCAGTGTCAATGCTCTGAGCCTCAACCCCCTCAGCAGGGCTTCAGTTTGCTCAAGGCTGTCCTCTGTTGGTTAATTTTGGCACTGCAGGAAACCTCTGATAATGTGGATCCACTTGTAGTTTGAGATGACTTTGCTGCAGTAGAAAATCTTCCCTTTGTTCCAATCATCTCTGCAATGTCCTACCAACAGGCGTTTTAAAAACTGACAGCTCTTTTTGCTTAACAACTCCCTCGCCCCATGTATTTTTTTTTTCTTTTAAGTGTTCCAGAAAGAGCAACAACGACAGTTAAAGAACAGTAAAAACGCCAAAAGCACTTCATGTCATATAGCGAGTGATCGCTCTCAGAGCGTATAAAAGTTCTGCTTGCATCCGTGCTTCCATCAGCAGCAAATTGACATGGACCTGCAGGGGGGAGGGAAAGTGGGAGAGAAGAAGAGAGTGATGTTAACGCACTGCAGCAGTTAACCACATATAAAGAAGTCAAAACAGGAAACTTAGACCCGTACCTTTTCGGAGTGCTGAAACTGCCTCCAGAAACTCTCATACATTCGTTTGGTGGTCTTCTCAGGGCTGCACACCATTGTCTTGATATAGATCTTAAAGCTACGGTCCAAAAGCTGATTTATCTCCCCGTAATCATAATCGTCATACCTGAGGGACATGGACGAGAGCAGTCAGGAGTGAACACAGAAAGTCTGACAGATTTTAGAGCCAAAATAAAATCGGATCACATCTGGTGACAAACCTGATGCCGAACATGCAGTGGATGTAGTTCCAGATGGCCCTGCGCAGCATACTGGTGTCCACATCCTTATGTGTCGCCATGGTGTTGTATGTGAGATTGTAGGCCATCTGAAACTTCTCGTCCAGCATCTGTCCCACATCGGGATACAATCTGTTGACCAGAGAGAAACCGTGGTCCTCCCAGCTGTAGTCCTGCAGAAAACAGAAACCACGCCTCTGTAACCGACGTCCAAACCACGTTCTCACGCTGCTCCGCAAATCTGCCTCTGAGGTTTACCTGCGCTCTGAACGTGGGAACCTGCTCCCCCCTCCTGGAGAAGTCCTGGTAGCCATAGCTGGTGTCTTCAAAGTGCCGAGATATGTCCCTGGAGGGGGCAGACTCCTCGTCCTCTGACGTCACCACCAACATGCTTTCGGTCTTCTCCCTCTCAAAGCGGGTGGCCATCTCCTCCTGGCTGGCCTCTTCATCGTCACGGCACTCCTGCAGCTGCTTCATTCTCTCCATCAGCTCTTCCACCTCACCACACATCTCCTGCGAGAAGAAAGCAGCGGTCAGCGATTATTCAGGGTCGGTTCGATTCTGCAGACTTTCCTCTATATATGCGGCTATTCACCTGATTGCCCAGCAAGTCGTCATGATGATTGCCGTGACCGTTTCCATTGGCTATGTCGCACATGCAGTACTGGCTAAGGGAGGGGGGTCTGAACGTGTGTCCGCTGTCACAGTTGATCTCTGGCATGATACCACAGCCGAAGGTGAAAGAGGAGAGGGAGTGATAGTGGGTGAGCAGGACTACAGCGTGGATGAGCTCTGCCAGGGACCAGCTGTGCTCCTCAGCCTTAAGGAGGCGCTGAAATTGAAAAAAAATAAAAATAAAATAAAAATCATGAAAGGCTGCTGAAATAAACCACAACTTCAGGTCTTAGTTGCACGTCTACAACCAGGGATCTCAGTCTGCTCACCTCGATATGCTCCTTGGTTAAAAGCCAAGGACGATGGGCCAGGATTTTGTTGATCTCCCCGAGCTGCTGCAGCTTCTGCGGAGCTTCGTTCAGGCCGTTCAGCCACTTGGGATTCCCCCCGACCTGAAGGAAGTCGTTCACATGCAGGTTGACCAGGTAGGAACACTGGTGGCGAGCAGCCGCCTGCACAATCAGGAGAAATTGCATAATCAGATTGATAGGAAGAAAAAAAAAAAAAAAGTACTTAAAGAGTTTACAGAGGCGGGGTCTAAGACATACCATGATGCCGATGTAGTGTCTGTGGTGCAAAGGCAGGGGTCCGTCCATCTGCAGCAGGTAGTGCTGCGTCCGGAGGAAGCTCTCCAGGTACTGTGGGTGGAAGCTCATCACGAGGGAAATGTTGTCCAGCCGATGAAGGGCTGCGAATGCATCCTCAAAAATTGCCTGCGTCCTGGCGTCCACTTTACTGACTTGAAGAATCTAAACACCAATCAAAATTTTGATTTTATGTTATTTGTTTGCAACAGATTTCAAAGTCT